GGCTCTCTTACGACCGATATTTAGAGGCAACTGCACACGTGTTAAGATAAACACAATAGCATTCCAGTGTTCGATCAGAGCACTACAATCACCATAACCTCTTAGTGATAATATTCAATAGATTATAACCTGCTTCATTCATAGTAAATATATTTCAACACCACAAGATTATCAAGAAAAATAAAGTTCGTCTGTAATTCACCCTTTTGTAAATCAATTCAAATAAATAGAAATAATAAAGACATGTGTTAATTATTAATCAGTACATTCACCCTTTACTTGCCCGCGCACCCCACACAACATCTAGTGGATTTTTGTTCTAAGTTGATTTTTGCACGTTTCGCTGACAAGTCAGATTGTGGAATTATTTTCCGAACAAAGCATATATACAATTCTTTTTCTACTTACGATAGAATTTACTATTTTTCATTATTTGCGATTATGAAATTTTTTCCTAATAACAACAGTCATGGTGTTAGTGGAAACTTTTGCCCTTAATAAAGAGAATTGACGCTCTTTCTAATTACCGTGTAAATTCGTTCAAGCTTTTATTGTTTGAATGAATATTAATGTAAAAACTGTATTTTTCTTATTAAAGAAAGATTAAATATAGTAAAAATAGGATTTAAAAATTTCATTTATAAAAACTTATTGATTAGTCGACATGAGACTTAAAATAAATGTTTAACCTATTATAAAAATATTATAAAGATTTTCTTAATCAAAAGAATTTATATTTATAACGACAATTTAATTTAAACATATTTTTTTAAAGCTTATATATTTAATAGTTTTTTAAAAACTATAATATTTTGTAATAAGATTATTACTCATCAAGATAATTAATTGGTTCGATTAATGAAAAATAAGGTAAACTATTCTAAGGTAAGGTTAAAAGGATATAATCTAATGATTTTTTAATTCACAATTATGAAATTAAAATAGTTCAAAAGTAGAGTTATTATTTAATTAAGAGAATTAACCTTACTTATTTTAAATATTTTCAATAAAAATTAAAATGACAACAAATAATTGTTAATTATTATATTTAATAATTTAAAATTATTATACTGATAATTATTAAATTTGTTAAAATCATTTTCAAATATAAAGTGAGCGATGGAGACAGAGACAGAGACAGAGAGAGAGAGAGAGAGAGAGAGACAAAAAGAGTGGAAATTTATATGTATAAGCTAATATTATATTAATGATATTATATAAAATTACGCTCGTATGGAATTGCGGATATTACTTATTTTTTCATACCATTTAATCAAAATGTCTATATAAATAGAGAAGATCAAAGCGTTTGAATTTTTCAGTTCTATTAATCTTTCATTCTTTGTAATTTGTCCTTTAAATTCGTTATCGTTTTCTCAAAATTCATTATCAAACTAATTAAAAAACAATATACTGTT